GTATCAACATAAGTCAAAAAAATAGTAGCTTGATGCAGTTCCTAGAAAACAGAGGCAGATTCTTGTCTGTTTATATTATTAGTCTATCCATTATTTTGCCTGAAGATGCTCAGGGTTCACAAAACATCATCATCTCTTGAAATTCACACATGGCCTTCTGAATTTTCAAGTTACACAATAAATCATCTATCATGGTGATCAGTTTTGTCCTGTGCTTATCATTAAAAACTTAATATAAAACAAATAATAATCTGTGAAGTAAACCAAGCATTTCTGCAGGATCTTTTTTAAATATATGGCTTAAAATGAAACAATGTCTGCTAAGAACCTCTGTCAAATGCCTATGGTATATCTTGGTGTGGACAAGGGAATACCAAAGCAGTTAAACAGAGCTGCTGTGCCTAGCCAACAGAGACATTTTGTGGCCCCTGAGACTAAAGGTTTGGACTCCAACAGTCTTGTGGTTTTTGCTTTATCAGGAAGGTCTCCACTCGTGTTTTGAGCAACATGCATCTACTGTAAGAGGTTAGGAGCAGTGACACTGATGGTGAATCTAGTGTGCCATATGCTCTGCACTTTCTCAGGACGGTTTTGCAAGCCTGTGGGAGTGAGCAATTAGTCATGTTTATTGTTTCCTAGTCACTAACAAACCTGCAATACAAGAATGACTTATCTAAACCGAGTTCCTGATCCACTGTTTAGACGCCAGCTGTTTGCCAAGTGCTGTAGTATATGTAGAGAGAAGACATGTACTTAGCCTTAACAATGCAGATTTTGAAAAACGCAAAAGAGGTAAAAATAAAGAGCATGCGTAATTGAAAAACACAGTCCAAGTGTATTAACAGCATAAAAAACAGATAGTCAATTAACAATCAGTTTTCAGATTTCTGTAGTGCAAAATAATTTAGCTCCCACTAACAGACTGAGAAATTATTCAACCCATACAGAGTCCTACTAAACAGAATTAGGCTTTCTTTGAGTTCAAGGGTCTGTTCTTGAGAATTAAGATTTCAAGACTGAGGCATATAGATTTTCTTAACTTCATTTTGAAATCTTTCCAGCTTCTCCTGTAATAATGTTCTTAACATTTTTAGGAGAAAAAAAGATTTGGGACAATAGTGTTATTTTTGTTTCTATATAATTATAGATTTAAAGAACTACAGTCTGGGAAGGACCGTTACATCATTTTGACTGTCATATCATAAATGTCAGATCATTAAATTTCAGCTGATTTTCACTATATGCAGCCTAACAGCTTTTATTTCATTCAGTTGCATAGAATACCTGATGTGTGTGTATTGTATGCATTCCTGGGCAAGTGAATAATAAGGTTTAGCACTGGAGTGAGGGTTAGAGCTGACAAGAAGATGAACCTAATGAGCTGAGGAAATATCTTCCAAAGGAGGAATTCACCTGAAGACAGCACACTGAGGGTGTGTTGGTTGGTTTGTTTGTTGCTTTTTTATAGGATAGGAATGTTAATGATAGGAAATTCAGTCTGAATTTTAATCTGAGGGTTAACTCAAAAAATCAGTAGGTAGAAGCTGGTTAACTGCAGCAGTGATTATGTTCCCAAGGGGCTTGCACGCTTGAAATGGCCACCTTTATCTTTGAGGCTTCTTTCGGTCTAAGGCTGTCAGGTAGCACCTGAATGGCTTTGATTTAGTATTAAGAACAACTTGATGGTTAGAGAAATGGTAAAAAGAAGAGCTCAGTCAGAGGCTAAGAAAACAATTTAGTAGTTTATAGAAGTGGCACTTGCTCATCCTATTTTGCTCAACTGAGCTTGTCATGCTCCTACCAGAAGCAAACATTCCTACCAGAATCAGCCATGGCCCCACACACTTGCTAAAACTGAAGAAGATAAAATGAGTCCTCAAACAACATCAGTTTTCCATTTGTGCAAGAGCTCATCCAAACTGTGCAATTACCCAAGACTACTAGTCCTGTGAGTCCTAAAATGAGCTTTAACTGGAAACACAGTTTGTGTCAGCCTCAGAAATAATGTTGCAGGAGGAGCCTGTTTCACCTTAGCCCTTCAGGCATTTCCCTTCCAAGCATTTAATCCGTTTCTTAGACTCTGCCTCTCCAAATATGTCCCTGTATGGGCTTCTAGTTTAACACTGGTCTTGTCCCACATTCTGTCTCCAAAACAAAAACACAGACTGCTGATGTAAAGATGTACCTGTCATCGATAAAGGTGTGGAAATTTCAAATTAAACTTTCCCGTAACACATTGGTCCCTAGCCATACTCCTATAATGCTAACTAAATAAAAGATTGCAGGGCTCCAGTGTCAAGTGATACTGTTGGCTCACAGCCTCACTGCTTCAGGCTCACTTCTCCACGGATATGTGTTGTGAGTAGCTGCCTGGAGTGGTCCAGAGTCATTCCACACTAGAGAAGGAAATAGCAATTAAAGATTATGGACAACCTGGGATCCACTGCTTTATCTTGCTCTCTGTTCTTTTATTATTGTTGTTGTTCTTTTCGTTTCCTTTTTTATTATTTTTTTTAGCATAAAGCTATAGCCCATGTGATTGAAATATAAACTTGCCTCTAGCCTTAACTCAAACCCAAGCTCTTGAAACCACCATCAGGCCTATACCATACTATACTAAACAAGGAAGCTCACCACAGCAAAAAGCTCAGACCTTTGGCAGCTAGAAATTGCCCACATCTCAGACTCTGCCAACTTCCAGTTCAAAGACTAAAGAAAGAATAAATCTATGGATAGGGTTAGGGTTCAGAAAACAGAAGCTGATGAACTGAAGGATGTTCTCTCTAAAAATAGAAGTATAAGTCAGAAACAGATCTCTGCATCTCCTAGAACTATTAATTTTGAAGTTGAAGACACTTTGCTTGAGGAAAGGCTATTCTTATAATTAAATCTTAATGAATTAATTTTATAATTAAATGGTGCATTTTTCTGACATGTAGCTGAGATTCCACTTCAAGTTTTAATTCATAACTAGTGTCCCATGCCATCAGAAGAAAAGGCAAGTAGACTTAACACCCATTCTCATGAGAGGTCTCCAGCAATTACCTTTTTTACTGAACTCTACTTCAACACAGACCCTTCTGCAAAACATGTTCTTGAGCTTAGCACTAGGCTTGTCCAACCTGCTAGTTCCACAGCTAAAGTGTGCTCATACAAAGGCAGCTGTCTTTAACTTAAGCTGTGGGCTACTTCTACAAAAAAAAAAAAAAAAAAAAGAACTATCTCATGACTGTTTTATGCATTAACCCTAATCTTTACCTTAATCCTGAACTAAATCACCACAATCCAGCCACCAAGACATGTGTCCTACTATTGGTTGTGGCAGCTAGAATTTAGGCTGATCAGGTTGTTCACAAAGTGCTAAGGCATAAATGTTGTATACAAGTCGTTCCAAATGTGTGAAGAAGAAAATATTTTATTCTCTTTGCATGTGGAAAAATAGCTAATTATTGCAGGAATCTCTTAAGTGTATGCCTGCGCATGTGTATATGTGTGTGTTATCTTTGTGCGTATAAAACCTGTTTTGTTTCCTGTATCAGAGCTACGTATTGTTTTCATCAAGATTCCCACTGGAAAGTGTTTAAGCTAAAAAATTTTAAAATCACATACAGTCAAAATAACACCCCTGTTTGAAATCAAATTCCTATCCTCTCACCATTTCTCACAGTTAGCAGCAAGTGCTACGTGCCCCACTCCAAGTAACTGACATTAGACTCTTTCCAGTCTAAAAATACTCTGAAATATTAGACCCAGATTTCCAGAAGTGCTTAGGCTTGCATGCCCAGTAATTTTAGTTTCAGTAGGATTTTTGGGCATGCACTGAGTGCATATAAACAACGCACTGTAGCGCTCAGGTCAGGCTGGGCATGGGAGTCTGTGTCTCAATTGCTAGGGTGAGGCACCAGCCTCTTCTTCCCATACATCCACACATGTGCTCCTGTGGAGAGGGAGAAGCTCACATAGCTGCCATGGGACTAGTGCTCACAATAGCAAAGCACGCATGGGGTCTGTTTTGGAAAGAATTCTGTTTAGTACCTTTTGGAGTCTAAGTCTGAGGAATAAATAAGAGCATGTGAAGATTTTTGTTTATCATGTTAAAATTGCAAGTGGCATCTGTTTAATTAGATGCTGAAAATGTTAAATGCTAACATGTGAGACAAGGATCAAATATGATGTTCAAAGGCATAGTATAAATCACACAGCTATTGTCATAGAAAGTGTGATGAATCTGTGTCTCTGTGTACACAAATGTGATGTATGGAAAAACCTTTTTTACTGTTAGTAATTTCTGTTCAGTTGCTTGGTTTCTACTTGTTAATGACTACAGAAAGATAAAATTGTTTTGCAGAGGGGCTTTAAGGTAAATTAAGCAAATGATCGTTTTTAAAATCCAAAACATGCAAAGAATATGTGAGTCTGCATACAACTTTCAAACATGTTTTGAAAATGTAGCAAGGCAAATATGGTTTATACCTATATACTATGGCAGAAATCCAATATTCATCTGCTGTTTATATTGCAAGAAAATGAGATCATTAAGGTCAGAAAGAACAGCTGCTTTAATTATAACACCCTGATATATCATATCAAAGTTTTCATCATCTCACACAAACTCTAAGAACATACCCCAGGGATTCACTTTTATCTTCCTGCTTTTTTGCAGGAAGGAAACTATATAAATACATGCCAAAGCACTACTGGCTGCTTCAAGTGGAGCTGTGTAAAATGATTTTACCCCGAGCTCCATAATGTTATGGCAACTATTATGAATCTAACTTTTACAGTATTTCTTCCTCTTTCTATGGTGGCAGCAGTAGTGGAAGATACTTTTGATAGCTGGGAAGCTGCCCTGCAGGCTTCATGGTCTTGCTGCCACATGTCCCCATGTGCTCCTGCTCAGGAGCATTCAATACCCACTCCTCCAGCTGCCAATGCTGGTCTGCCTGAGTCACCTAAAGGTATTCCTTCTTTAAGGGAATGGCTGCTTTGTGTTTTAACAGATGCTATGCTTCTGGTAGCGGAGAGATTAGAGGGACCATTCAACATTGAATCAGTCATGGATCCTATTGATGTCAAGATTTCTGAAGCCATCATGAACATGCAAGAAAACAGCATGCAGGTGTCGGCAAAGGTACTGTGTGAGTCGCGCCTTTTCTGTTGCTGCATGGTCACAAGTAGGGGGAAAAACTTCACCACCATTTTTCTGTCTAGACTTGGAGAAAAATTGTCCAGACCACTAGAAATTTCTTTTTCTTGTTCAGCTGTGCACCAGACTGCCTTTGAACCCTTCACCTATTTAAGCAAGATCAAAGTTTACAAAAGGGAGCGACAGGGAGAAAGGTACTATTTAGCTAACTCAAAATTATAGCTGTAAGAGATTTAAGAAAAACAGAGAATGTCAAAAATTAGCAATAACCCTGTAAGCAATATCCTGCAGAGTATGCTTGGTAACTTCTGCTCGTGTCTCATCTGTGATTCTCCACATTAACTTCTGAACACATTTTGATCTGTCTAGGTCAAACTGAAGTACAATGTGTTTGAGGTGAATACACAAAATGTTCCATTTAACCTCCTTTAATAGCCACTCAAGGGAAATATCATTACATTGGACAGTCTGTGATTACCAGACCTCACTTTGATAGAGTTTTGTCTCGATTCTGACACAAAGATAAACAGAGTTAATGGCACCAGCTTCCTCCTTTCCATTTTTCAGTGCGTATGTGTGTACACAGATCATCACCACCTCTGCACCTCAGGTTAATTAGATCCTTTGAATTCAGTAGCAGGTGCTGTTGGGCCAATAGTCAACAATTAATGGCTTTTCCTTAATACTCATCAGTGCACTGCAGCTCAAAATCTGAAGTTTGCAGGTTCTCTGCTTTAGGAGTTTCTACGACCCATTGATCTCCAAGTATTCAGTTAGGTGTTGGCTAGACTGCCATCTGAGATGGTGAATTTCCATTGCTTGGAAGGAAGCTGCATAGCTAGGAAAAATGTGGGGATGAGGTGGAGGCTGAGGTTAATATTCTTCCTGCCAACCCAAAATTAGATGCTTTTTATGGTCCCAGTGCTGAAGGTTTTTAAGGATTTCCTTCAAGATGCTTTTTACTTTCAACTTACATGAAGTTACTTGGATTTTAAAACCTGTCTACATCCTGCACGATGAGACTTTGTTCTGGCAGCCATGATCAAGGCATCTAACAGCCAAATTCTCTCCAATACTTTGGGAATGAAAGGCTAGCTTCAGCAAACTCAGCTCGTACCTCAGGAAAAGAAATAAGAAATATTTTTACTGAAAACTTGCCCAAGGCTCAGGTGTATTTAATTTTCCTTTTTATTTGCTTGACTCTCAGTTTTCAGCATTAGTCAGGAAGCTACATCCCCTGCCAGCATCCAATGACATCTTGGCACAAACTCATCTCACTACTTGTTTGCAGCAGAGTTTCTCCTGCCCCTCAGAAATATTTTATTTGCTGCAATGATTAATAAATCACAGCAATTCTGTTTGCAATATAAAGATTTTTTTCTAAGAGAAACCTTAGCCAACGTTTTTAAACTCTTGAGATACAGAAACCAAATTATATCAGTGAAATTTATTTTATGATATTTTCATAGATAACAGAACTGTCTATCCTTGGGGGGCTTTTGTATATTTCTGTGTAGACCATTATTCTCCTAAAATGGAATTTCCTTATTTTCTTAGGTCATATCCATACTTTTTTTTTTTCAGGTCCTAACACATGAAAATGCTTTATCCTTAAAGAAAAGTATAAGAAGGCAAGGACTTTGGGTTTGGTGCTGCATTCTCCAATGTCCTGTCAGATCTGTAGATACGACATATGAGCAGATTTCGAATCAGTCATCTGTTGTCTAATTTTTCCCCCTTACACATACTGACCACTTAGAGCTTCAGTGAGAATGACAGATACCTTGCCAGATGTAATGGGGTGCATGGAATGCAATTGCAGACTTAATGTAGGAGAAAAGACACACTTCTCAATTATTCTGAGACGCTGCTCAGAAAGCTTCAGGCAGGGTGTTGAAATCTTCAAACAATTTTGTTATCTTGCATTTGACTGTACCCACTGAAAATGTGATGACTAGGAATCAGAGCTATTTTTCCACAAGTCAGTCAGCATGCTTTTACAATGGGAAAATGATGATGCACTAATAACGTTATGCCTGCAACTCCCACATACACACAGATTATTTCATCACTGACATGCAGCTTTTTCTACCTAAAAATCTGTTTGATGTATGGGAAGAGGCTCTATGCTGAATTCAGTAGAATTTTGGTCCATTTTGAATAATGTTTTTTTCTCTTTTAAAAGGAAGGGAACAAATGAAAACAGTTTCTTCCTCAAGAACCTCTCACTAATCTTACTGTCTTTGTAGGCAGAAGACCCAGAATTCATTTAACCCCAAATTTATCCCCCTCCTTTTTCAAGTATTTATATAAAATTTCCCTATTTCAAAAGTCAGTCACATTAAATTGCAGTATCAGTTTGTCTTAGTATCACCAAATGATGTTTTATATTATACCAGCTGCAATCATGTATTGACCTTTATTTGAGAAAAATATATGTCTGATATAACACATTGACTGTACATGCAGGCAAAATTAAATGAGCAACAATGTACACTCTCCAAAAGAATGTGTATAAAAATGAGTAAAAATGGGTGCTCTTCATGAATGATGAAGTCTTCATTTTAAACATCAGGAGAAAAATACATTGTGAACTTCCTAAGTCTCCATTTTCATGGTTTGTCCCTCCATTCTTTGCTTGATGTAGTACTGAAGGTTTTGTCCAATATCTTTTTCCTATAAACCTGCACCTCGTATTCAGCACTATTTTTCTGAGAAATAGTCTTCATGGTTACAGTTATACTAATAAATAAAAGGGAGACAAAGACCAGTGCCTGATCTTGAGGCCAAAGTATCACAGCCTGATTCATTTCTGTACTGCTAAGAGCTACCTACTCTGGAGCTGTTTCATTCTGCCAAGAGCAAGTTGGAGCAGTCCAAGAAAAAGCCAGTAAGTTAACAATTAATCAGTGTGGATATTTGGGGCTTATTGCTTGGGTTCATACCTTGTTTTTCATTTCCTTAGAAGACACAAACCCTCTGTCTTCGAGTCTTGATGGGTGCACATCAATATCAAGACAGAATTATAGAGGTGCCACAGGTACTTATTCTATCTTTGTACTTCCAATCAAGGACATACAGACTTAGCCACATCCTAGCACCTGTCACTGCCTAAAATGGAGCGTCTCTGTTCCTGGGCCATTAATTTCTCTTGATTGTATGCTGATTGTGGTTGATTCTTTTAACACAGTTCACATCAACCAGGTACTAATATTATGTTAAGATCCTCAAATTCATCCTAAAGCTGGAATTTTTCTGTGTTTTCGTGGTGTTTCTCTACAGCCTCTATTCAGGACTGTATGTCTAGGAAGTCTGGCCCACAAATCACCAGGCTTCATAGGCTCCTCAACCATGTGTGGCTGCCATGTCCCTGAAAGACAGCCGCATGAGGTCCTTATTTTGCCTTGGGGAAAGTCCCATTCCTGACAGCTGCAGTATCTGGAGATGCTTTTCAAAAAGGAGCAGTGGTTTAGAAATTCAGACTTCAAGTCCTTTCTGCTAGAGAAATATATGTGCTCTGAATCAGACCTGAGTTTCCCTTCTCCAAATAAAGGTAAGAACTGAAGATCATCAAAAACAGTTTCCATAGCTTCATCATCTAACACTGGCAGCTATTCTGACAGATCATCATCTGCAAAACAAACCACAGAATTCAAAAACAGTCAACGTGGGCTCTTCTGAGATGCCTCCCAAGACACTTGTAGACTTTTCAATCTGGGTCTGCCAAACCTTCAGTGGTTTTCCCTGAATGTTGCTTCTAGTAGAAGTCAGGTTGCAATAGATTTACCTCTTGATTTCTCCTGATGTCTTGAGACATTTATCTTCATTATTGAAATCTCTTTGTTATTTGCCAGTGACACTTCTTTGGTATTTGAACGTTATAGCGCCAAACTCAGTGCTCAGCAACAAGTTTAATTATCTCTCAGGTAAAAGTTTTGCATTCTGCGTATTGTTTCTCATGGCTCAGTTCATATGCAAGACTTAGTCATAGCATACACTTACCTTATTCTTATTCTCCCTGGGGCATTTCAAGGAGTCACATTTAGAGAGTCATAACATATAAATTGCTCATTTCAATCTTGGCCACAACAAACATGTTTTGGGGACCTTTAAAATATTCCCATAAGGCTGTCAGTACCATTACCTTTGATTTCTGCTTCAAGTCAAAGAGTAAGCCCTACATCTGTTCCATTTTGACAGTATGAATGTTTACTAGTTGACATCTGCAGAGATTGCTTGCTACAGGTGGAGAAAAACTCAAAAAACAGCAGAAAAGAAGTTATTAATTTTTCTTCAAAATGGAGAAAATTCCTAATCTGGTTGCATCAGCATAATTATGCCTCAAAATGCAACTCAAAACATAACAACTAGCCTATCTCCTGCGTTTTAAACAATCTGGTTCTGTACAGCTATGTTTGGCTGCTGTGTCATTTGGCTGACATGCCAAGATTTTTCCACTTTCATAAAGGCCATCACATAACTGAGCCTTCTCTTAGTAAGTCTTAAATCTACTTTTATCTGAGCTGATGGATGTGCCTTTTTAACCTATAGATATATGTTCCTTTTCAGCAATTAACTTCAGCTAAAAGGATGAATGAGCTCCATGACATAGCAGACCACCTGTGCATTATTTATAAGGAGGAAATCTTCATAAAAACTACATCCAAGGTTCTTCTTAAAATGGCCCTGAGTCTAATATTAGCATAACCTCTTCATTTATCTGTGTTCTTTCGAGAGCTCTGTGCAGAAAAAATATAATGGCATTTCAGGAAAAAAATCTATTCTATTCTATGTGAAGATGAAAGAGCCAACGGAGCAGAATCAAACAGAGAAACTCCATAGGAAATACTGAACACTAGCACATGGCTAAATAACAGTATAGCTCAAGACTTCACAGAGAACAAACTATCTGCTAGGACTCAAAACTTCAAGTTCTCCTGGGAAAAGGACTTTTTTTTACAGTATCAATATCCTGATTTTGAAGTATATACCTCTGTTTAGTCAGCTCGCTAAGATATAATCCTTAACTGGATCTGTTAACTTGATCTCATAGCTCATTTCATATCTCTTCCCATAGAGGTCTTGTGACATCCTAGGGTAGCCCATCCCATTTGTTTTAGCTGCAGTTCAGTGCAGAATGGTCTTGTGTTAAGACAGTCTTAAAAAAAAGTCTCAGATATACCAGGACATCACAAACTATTGTAGATGCTGATGTGAGAGCAACTGAAGGGAGCTTTTGATCTCCACTGTCTAAAATGGAAGTTTTGATGTCTAGCTTAAATATAGGCACCCACATGTACACACCTAAATCAAGTTTCTTGATTTAAAATGGAATCCCTTCTCTAAATTCAGCTGAAATTGACTGCACCATTTACACATAAAATGCAGTTTTCTGAAGAGAGTGGATTAGTGCTGCCAATTCACAGCATGCGTATAGATACATCTGGATATTTTTTCAGAAATTGCTCAATATCTCTGAGTAGCATTGTGAAGAAAGTATTCCATGTCCTTCTTCTTAGGAAGCATTTGTTAATTTCAGGTATCAGCTTTACATTTTCTGTTCTGTCAGTTAATACCTGGACGCAAATTAGAAAATGTTTCTTTTGCACTCAAAATGTAGATACAAAATATTGTATCCTTACTGTATTTCTGCCAGGTCATTTTAAAAGTAACTTATTTTTTTCCTGTCATGTAAAAATTGTTATCTAGTTTCCATTTCTGTTATTGTCTGGCTGTAGGTAAATTTGTTCATATAAAATCAGTTGCTACAATGATTTGTAAGATGCTAAATGCTACAAAGTCTATGTTGCAGTTTATTCAATATGTCATAGGAAAGATGAAATATAAATGATGTAGACTCACATATGTCACAAAAGTAGCCCAGCAGTCACACACTGTGAAATTTAAGGAGAAGATTCAGCACTCTCACTTCTCTTCCGCCTGAGAATCAAGCAGAATGTTTTGGATAACTTGCCTTTGTAAGCAAATACCCAGTTGCTTATTTGACTAAATAGAATTTGTTAGATATCTAAATAAATGGTTGTTTTTTCTGCACATGATTTATGTTTTGCCAGAAGAAATATGAATACGCTTTTGTAAGTGTAACTGATGACCCCAGCATATCTATTTTACCCTTTAAAATGTACAGTAGCATACACAATCATGTAGAAATCCTGAACATTAATCTTAGTTGAATTTTCTTCAAAGAGGAAAAATAAGATTCTTTACTGCTGAAAAATGTAAAGCTTTACAAGCTAAAATCATCTTTCTAGATTGATTAAAGGAACTTGTTGTCTAATAGTCACCACGGCTAAAGAAGCTAGAAACTCCTAAAAAATTCTTACAGATATTGTCAAACCAGACCAAGCAGTATTCCACTCATAAATTAAAAATCCCAGTGGCTATATAACAGCTGACTTGCTGGACTTTGAGCCAAAAATAGATCTGATGATTAGACATAAATTTAGTATGAATCAATTTCTTTCAGCAAATTTTTAATCATTTGGGGCCTCTAAATTAACATCGTGAAACCTAAGAGCAGATTTTAATGTATCCTGAAACCAACAAAACTCACACCATCCATGGCTACATCAGGACAGAGCAGCTCAAGTCTCAAAATCTAAAGGTCTCAAAGTGAAATGTGATTCTTTCTGATCACTGCCTAACAACATAGGTCATGAGCTCATCATCTTATTTACTACACAAAAAAAGTAATCTGGTCCTACAAACAAAACACAGCACCTGTAAAAGAGTTTTCACCTCCACAAAGTTCATTCAGACAGATAGTTTTGTGACATTAGGGATTTGTAAATTGCATCTTACAAGAAATTCTGACATTTAATTTCTTTTTTTCTCTGAATGAAAGCAAAATCTTGAAACAGCCAAAATACAGTGGTCACAAAAAAGAACTGAAAGAGTTGGCATGAAGGCAAACATTAGGATCCTGCTTCATGAGAGCACTTGAAAAACTTAACTCTGAATATTTTAGCTCCTTTCAGTTGAGCAGCTTCTGGGAGAAACCCTCTGGGATATATACTTGACACCCACTAGTCAAAAGTGTTTTCTGTGTCCTTTAGTATCCACCAGTTATATGCTACTGAAACTTTTTCCAAGTGGAAATACATGAAAAATGTAATAACCCTGAATATTATTTTTTATACCTAGAAAACAAACACACTAGCTGAAAATAATCCTCACTATTGCTCACTCAATATGCCTCACCCCTCTTTTATGGAGGGATTGGTAGGGAATAAGAAAGTTATCTAGTTAATAAGACTATTCCATCATTGCCATTTTCTGAGACAACAAACAAAATTACAAGGTAGGAAGAGCTGTGGTTAGGGATTATGAAAGAGCTGTGTTTCTGGATAAATACCGCATTTTAGCAAAAGCTAAACCAATTTTCAATTAAGTCCTGCCACAAAGGACTTCTTTTGTTTATTTGTCTTCTTATAAAGACAGCAATTAAAATGCTTTCAGATGTTAATTTCTTACAATAATCACCTTCCTAAGTTAAGGGGGTCCCTATATGTTTTTGTACCTTAACCAAGTAATTAATAGTGCTTAATTGTTAACCTGAGCTTTAATGCAGGGCAAGTGCTCAATTCACTAGTATCAAAATGTCAGTCAAAGTTCATTTCAAATATATGAGAGAATAAAAAGTCTATGAAATACCAGCTCCCTTTTTTTTTTTTTTTTTTTTATGATTCTCATATAACCTGCAATGTCTTTTTCAGGTTTTCCAAGGATGTGGCCAGCCTAAACCAGCACCTGCCCTGCGATCTTCCCGTTCTGTCCCTGAAAACTTTAATGCGCGGTTTAGAACATATAACCCAGAGGAGCGACCTACAACTGCTGCTGGCACAAGTTTGGATAGGCTGGTAAGGCAAAAATATACTCAGTTTTCAAATTAGTAGAAATGGCTTGGTACTGTAGTGGAAGAGTGGTAACCTCCTGACAACTATTTTTGTAATCATTTCCTAATCACTCTGTAGAATTTCTATACCAGCTGTTCCAGCATTCAGTAATTTTTTTTTTTCTCCACTGAAATGGTAAAAAATTGCTTTCTAGGAGAACAATATGACTCAGTTTTTATGTATTAGAAATGTTAGAAGAGAATAAGCTCTTTCCTGAAGACCAAAAAAAGCAGATGAACCACAGCAGGTACTTTAATGAATAAATTCTCTTTGAAAAGTGATCTACAGCTATATTTTTTTTTATTAAAACTAATTTTACGTATTAAAGCAATTTTTAGCAGCTAGTTCTTAAACGTATGCATTTGCAAAGGCACATTGATTTGTTTCAGTTATTTACTTAGTTATAATGTTACCACTGCTCTTTTTCCATCCATTCCATCCAAAATTTGACATTTATTAGCTAAAACTTCAGTGACCATTAATCTTGCTTTATTTATTCTATCATTTTGAAAACAAGAGTTTAACATAACACTATTTGCTTTACTACCAGTCATTGAATTTACATTTCAGACTTCGATGTTCCTTCTATTTACATATCTATAGATTTATAATGTACTAATTATGATAGCTGTTAATACTGTCTCAGCAATCATCTAGAGGAAAAGCCAATGAGCAAAATTAAAGAGTTGTACAGCATCTGAATCAAAACAGACTGCATCACGCACCCTCCGCTTGCCGAGCTTATTGCTGAACACTTGCACAGCACTGGTGTGTCTGGCCAAAGAGAGTTGTGCTCAGGACTGTAGCAAGAATGAGTAGAGACCCTAGCTGGAAACAGCCGCTATTATCTGGGGTATGAGGTTTTGTGAGCTGCACTCCCGCTGAGTGTCAGGCAGGTGCTGGCTGCACTAGGGCACCGAAATGTTTTTGCTATGGTTCTTACGAGCCTTAAATTGTCTAGAGGTTTCTCTGACATGCAGCTTAAATCACTGGGCAGGAACCCAAATATACTAATTCAGATAAGGACCTCAGTATCTTCTCAACACCATCATTCAGCAAATCCCTTTGACAATCACAGTAGTTTTCCACAGTGCAAAATCACCTCTATCTATGCTGTATTCTATTTACTGTATTCTGTCAGTCTTCATGCAATTCAAATGGAAAATGACATTGCATTTCTAGTCAAGACATGGGATTACCCTGCAGCAAAAAATCAGCATTTGTTAGTTCTCTGCTCTTCTGGAAACATGTACCCTGGTTATCGCAAACGGAGAAACAGAAAAAAAGGATGTTTACTTCCATGGTAGACTTAGGCCTTTCTACCACAGCAGTTTCATAACCCAGTGTAGGATCTCAGGCTAAAAAGGTGTATAGGAATATTAAATCCATATTTGGCAGGATCTTAATTTTACCCTTTCACTTTGGATTCAGAGAACCAGCCCTTGTGTATCACTCAGTGCAGAGGCCTGGATCTTAATCTAGAATTGGCTAAGGTGAAGTTAAAAGTCATCAAAGCCTGTAGGTTTCAATTATGCTCCATCAAAGCTAAAAGTTGCAAACAGAGAAGGTGGGAGGAAGAGCGTAAAAAGTATGGCTGCTAGCACAGCTGAACTTGCGTTAAACTTATGCTCTAAGAACAGAGAAGGTGTTTTTGCAATGAAAAAGACAGGTTTAAGAAACATTCCATACTGACATAAGGAGAATACTTCTAAACACATTAATACCCTCTTTAAACTAAAAGCTTTGAAAATACTGAGCAGCATCCTCAGTAAAGCAGAGATGTGTTACATGCTGCCAGCCTCTAAAGGCTGTAACTAATGAAAACTGCAAATGCAGAAAATCCTTTGTAACTCCTAATAACTTGTAGATTTTCAAAGGGGAACTTGTCTCCATATGATTTAACTAGGTTTGTTCATACATTATTTCAGAAAAAAACAAAGAGCTTAGCATTGCTGCTGTTACTTTAAAAAATGTTCAAGCCAAATACCTGTTTTTTTTCTTGCTAGTGATATTCAAAAGAATAACTACTTATGCTCTGTTTGTGATGAGTGTTGGTATCAAATCCATCTCCAAATGGCAGCGATGTGCATGTTATCTCCTTTTGGGCTGAGAACAGCAATCCCTTAAGTCAGAGGTGGCCACTGATCTCAGCTGAAATGAGGAAAGGCTATTTATGTGGATTTGAGCAGAAGGCCTTGTTTCAGAGTTGTAATCCCTTAGCAACACTTGGGAAAGGTCACTGCCTGCCTCGCACACCAACTTGGGTAATTTTATCCAGAAGGATATATATGCTGCACTCTTGCCTCACAGGAACACCATTCAACCTGCCTGCATTAAATCCTTGGTGTTTAATGTGCTGAATCATTCCCTGAATCAAGTATCTCTCTTCATTAACTATAGACAGAGCCTGGAGGACCAACTTCATTTAGGTCCTCCTAATCCTTGAGCTGTTAGCAGAATGTGAGAAGAATCCTGCTCACAGCAGTTTTCCAGTCTGCACAATGATCATTTCTTACTGAGTGCTTAATACAAATATACAGCAATATTAGTATTTTGATGATTCTGTCAAGCAATTAAAACCCCTTTTGATTATCATAGATATAAGAAGCAGTTCTTTCCTGAGTCAGGTGACTGTTCAGTGTTACATTACTGCTTTTAGAAGTCTATTCTGGAATTTGTATTCATAAAATACTGTCAGACCACTTAACTTTAAACTGTCATCACAAAGTCCAGACATGCAGGGATGTAAACCTCAAAAGAAGTGACAAACTATTCTGCTTTCATCTGTCTTTGACAGCATGTCCTCAGAAGACACCAACTTTAGAAAGTATTTCCTCTGCATCTCTATCTTATACAGACATGTAGCATATCTGAACCATTTATTTTTACTCCTACTCATGTCCCCATTTATAAGCTTAATTCAGCTGAACATAACTCATAAGAAGCCTACACTGAAATCACCAGGTACTGAACCCATCTGAGAAACTGCTCCTTTGTCCTTGTTTGAACTAGTGTGATTAATTCAGTTATTCCATTCCAAGAGGAGGATAAGCAGTTTCCTTATGTCATTGTCATAGCTGTAACAAGCAAAGCCTTATAAATAAGAAAGAGATCAAAATAAGTTGTGCAAAATGTGAAAAAAAATAAACATCCCCCAAAAGCAGTGGTATAACTGGTTTAAAATTATCATATATATTTAGGAAGATATGCATACCTTGAGAGAATTGTCTAAGCATGGATTTAAAGTACCATCTGGGACATTCCAGAGAGTCTGAAACATGGGACCAGCAGATATGGCGCAGGACTAGAAGAGACCAATACACTTATGGAGCAGCAGTGGGGAGCTGTGTAGAGTATGCTGCAGCATCTCAAGCAGCTCAAGATACCTGTGCTCAACCAATTCAATCACATATTCACAGCACAGGGCCTAAAAGTCAGGCTCTTTTTGAAGTGAATGGAGAGAGACACACATTTTTGGAGAGTGATTCACCCCATTTGTCACAAACACCTCTCATAGATTGGGAAATGAAGGGCTCAGCTGGAATTTCCACAGGCAGACATGCAACATTGAGACATCTAATTGAGCTCACAGATAGGACAGTAATTTGGGATGCTCATGCCCTCCTGACTGGCAGTTGAAGGCTGGGTAGAAGACCGTATAGGATTCCATCCTGTGCGGCATCCAAGTGGTAGAAGAGAACTGAGCCCCAGCTGTTCTCTGCAGGTCCCATTGGGTGGGACTCAGCTATGTAAACACAGTCATGTAAAGCTACTTGAGATGCCTATGGTCTGCAGGATGTCCAGATATGAAAGCAAAGTTACAGGAGACCTGTCTGGAAGTAAGATGGGATACCTCAGAGCTCCTAGATTCACTTACTATTTAGGTAACTGCATTCCACCCTATTTCTCTACTAACTGCAACAGAAGCAAAAACAAGGACTTTTCTGACTCAATATAGAGATCCATAGTGTAGATACCTGTAACCAGCTACCTAGATTTGAAGACTAGATGACCGTAGTTTTGACTGTTAACAGAAATAAAGGTCTTCATTCAGTTATTTAAACACAGGTTTAGGCAACTGAATAGGCATCCAACATTTCTAAAGCATGATTCATCACTTCCTAAAGTATAGTTTTAAACAGCTCAGAGAAATCATTCCATATACCTCCGCTACAAAGCGCCAAAAAGTGACAACCTTATTCTAGGCATCTAGCAATTACACCTGAATTTCAGTGAGATAAATACTGTCAGAAATTAAACAATTTTAACCACTGAGCTCTGTCGCTTCTGTAAAGCATGATCTAAAACTTCTCATTTAAAATCAACTGCTTATAAAGATTCGTTATCTTCTCTGTGGTTGCCTGTTTGGTATAACCTGTGGTTTATTTTGTTTTGTTTTGTTTTTTGTTTTTCTGTCCCCTGAATCTGTTTCCCTCTTGCTTCCCAGAGGACTATCTGGAGGACAATGCAACATGGTGTAAGCTTTGGTATTCTTATTCTTCACTTTCATTCCCATTTGTCTTTGTACAATGCTGGGCAAAACACTTCTTTAAGTTTCATTTTCACCATCTTTACTTTGTATGTGTCTTATAGGCTAAAATGCTAGCAGTTCTTTCTGTAATTTTGCATTCTGGCTGATTTAATTCTGCCCAGTGCCCAGAGCTGATGGTTCCTTCCAGTATTATTCTCCCACTTCAAGGATGATGCCTCACCCCCAGAAAGGAGGGTATGTGTTCCTTCAGGGAGCTAAAAGGTGGTGTAAGTGTCTCCATGGTCTCAGCCCCCACATATGCATGTTCAGCAATACAGACACCACTGTGGCATTCAGGTCTGAGTCCTGTGCCTTGAGATAGCAGTAGAGCAATGGAAACAAACTCCCAGGCTTTCCTGAGCTCTCTCCCTAGAATTGCCCCTATCTTGCTGTCTGATTTTGGGCAAACCACTAAGCTTCTCCATGGGAGCTTCATAAAGTGGATTCCCTTATCCTTTCCAGCTTTGTAAGTTTCTGCGAATGTTAGAGGTTCCCTGATTTCAGACAGAAGGGCTCCTCAGCAGGGTTCAGCACAGCCCAAGGGCAAGGCAGACACACAGCACCATGCAGATATGCATCATCTAACTTGTGAAGTACCTCAAAGGACTTAGCTTGGACTATTATAACCTGCTTCTTAGCAGGACTAATTAGTCTACAGAGAGCCCCATGCTGATAAAAACATGCTACCTCCTGCTTTTGAGCTGCCCCAAGTACCTCTGTATCCACCACATCACCATACAGCACAGTGCTGTCTTAATTCATCTGGCATTTCTCCCGAGAATATCCTGCAGCCTGACCTGGCTGGACGTGTATAAAATGATTCCACATTTTCTTTCAGGAGGACATGGAAGCCTTCTTGATTATCCGCTATGGAGCCGATGCACTATTAACCATATAATACATAATGCATATGCACACTATAGAGATAGGCAAATGAGAAATTGGCTGTGGCATTTTGCAAGTGATTTACATTCAAGTACAGTATAGAGGCTGCATAGATAAGTGGATGGGCATGCATCCAGTATCAAAAAGAAAACCTTTCACACTCTTTACCCTGGGGAGAGGACTATATACTTTGTAGGAAAATGTTCTTTTATCTTCCCTCCTATTTTCCTTAAAATAAAGTAAATAAAGTCTTAATTTCTATGAGCAAAAGACCCTGAAATATTTCTTTAGGAATAAAGTGGGATGTATTTTAAGTGTCCATTCAGTCATATTTTTAACTATTTTTTATTCCATTGTGTAATGATTTTTGTTACAATAAGAACCTAATAAATCTGTTGTGAACAATTCCTTACCAGTGCTCCAAAGACTATATAGAAACCATGATTTAAAAAAAAAAAACAAATCTGCTTTGCATTTTAGCTATAAAAAGACTAAAATTAACAGGTTGGTATATACTGTGAAGACATTGATCTGAATTGCCCAGGAAATTCTCTGGGACGTTCATGAAAGTGGAGCTTATGTTTCAGGTTTTTTAGAATCCCTTTTGTCTAGACTCTAGAAATGGTAAATATATGCAGTGATAGGACAATTTCCTGATATAGGATGTTTATTCTCATCATTTTATTTCCCTAGAGGCCTTAGAATAAAACCCAGTAGGTATAAATCTTAGATGGTTTAAAATACTGAGATTAATTTTTCAAATACCTGCACAGAGAGGCCATTGGGAAAATACAAACAATGAGCCTGTAAAAGACTTCATAGCTCAGGAGGTTTTGGTCACACTCTTAAGAGTGAAAATGACAGTTTCATGCAGGTGTTTTAGAAGCACGCCGACTTCCCCCAGGTTACTTCCCCCTGCAGCCCTTAGATGCTGTGCTGTTGGACACACCACTTCACCCTGTCTGATGTTAATCAACAGATAACTCCTTTAAAACACAAGGTGTACAGCTCCTCCAATGTCAGGTTTTGTGTGTTTAAACAGTTCTGTTTCCTATTAGCTGTCTGCATGCATTGCGCACAATGAATAAATGTGTTTTACAATGTTTGTTTTGGTCATTTGGTGTCAGATTCAGGATCTGCTTGAATCTCCAAAATAGGTGTTTGCTTAGTGTCAAGTTTTGTTTATTCTCAGTTTCCGTGCCAAAGCAATATCTAAGTTCAAGTCTGTGAAATCACTCCTTCCCTCATGGTTAATACCAGTTTCAGGTGGCAAAGGTGGATGAATGATGGTGGCTGTCAGAACCCTCCTGGGAGACCTGCCAAAGTCCCGTTTTTAAAAATGGTGATACTATTTCATCCCCCAGCTGAATGGTTCTGCACGCTGTTGTATCTCTCTGATGCATTGCACTCCTAATGCATGTGAGGCAGTTACTAAGAGCATTATTACAGTGGTCACTTCTGTCTTCGGGTGGAATAGGTCTGCGTGCTACTCAGACCCTACTTAGTATTAACAAGGAAAGACTATTCCAACAGTAACAGGAAAGACAGATTTCTACCTTAATAAGTTGTCAAATAAAATGCGCGATCTTGACTGCCATGCAGTGTCTGCCTTGCCTGAAGTGATGTGTTGTCTGTCTTATTGAACACAGTGCCTGCTGGAACATCTTCTGAAAATGTACTTGTTAGTATTAGTTGAACTTCTTTAGCCGATGGGTGGTGAAGACCCACTGAGAGTCATCATCTCATTCCCAGGAAAGTTTTAGGGGTATGAATAGTTTTTGCAATATACAGAAAGTTTGTATTATCAGCCCCTGGAAGATGAATCTAAGCAGGAAATACATCAACACTGCTCTTTTAGCTGAAAGATAGATCATGTTTCATTTCATGTGTCTGTGCATGAATCTGTGCAGAAGGAAAAGTGAATTCTTAATGTTCTTGTTAATGCTAAAGAAATGTAGTGACTATGTAAACATCTTCTGCACTTTAGCATTTTGACAGGATAGTAAAAGAAAAAATATGGTTTAAAAATTGGTAGCAAAGCTTGTGTCCCCACTTGCTGTGCATAAACTGTGTTCATTTAGATGCTTACAAGTAGAATGATTGTAACAACAGTAACTGACTACCTGCCTGGAAGGTGATGAATTCTTGAACTGTTAATATGGGTACAACCAACAAGTTCTCAGATTCCATAAAATAATGGATTTATAATACATCACTAGATCATTTACCAGTAGAGAATTAGAGGGTCCTTCTGTGCAAGTGACTCCAGACCATAAAATGCCTTTTCAGCAAAAAGTCAGTTGTGCACAAGTGTGGATACCAGCAGAGAAATTAAAGTTTTGCTAATTCCTCAATTAATTTCAAATAATGATTCTCACTCTCAAAATAAAAACATATGTTATACTTTACTGGCAATTAGTTTTCTCCAGCCTTTTGCAGCTATTTTTATTTTGCTGGACTGCAGCACACAGATATATTGTGAACTCATAGCAGAAGTGCACAATGCCAGACTCCACTTATAACAAATTGTAGGTTACAGTGGACTGAAAACTGATTTCCCAAGCCAAGCATCTCATACATTTTTCTTTGGTTGTAATAGACAGAAATTGACACTTTATGGACTTTTATGTGTATTACTAGTGGTTAGAAGTCAGGTAAAATACAAGGACTAGAAAGGTTTACCTTCACACAAATAGTGACCCTTTCATGAACTTTCTTTAGTCAAAACCAAATATTTCATATTAGGAAAGATTTCCTATATTTTCCTCCAGCTTTTATCCCCCACCCCCCAGTTGTATCAATGTATCAGTCTAGGTTGCTGGAGTAGCAATACAATGCTTCTAGAATGCAGCTGTCCATAAACAGCAAAGCTTTAGCGGCTAGTTACAGATATCACTGATGGGGAGAGGTAAGACATTTAATAGTACTGGGGAAAGGGGAAGGAAAAGAGCCATCATATCTGATTTTATCCGTCATCCACTAAGGGCAAGTCTAAGGTTGTGCATCTGTTGGCAGATCCAGCAGCACTTCTTGGATCCCACAGGTCTTGGTGTAGGCCCTAGCAGCACCATGGCTCCACGTTAGGGCAAAATGCACAGCTCCCATGTTGCCACTCCATATTCTTAGACACCATGAGAAAAAGAAGAGTACCCACAAGATGCTTCAGCAGATCCCACTCTGGACACTGGCATGTACTAAGGCACTGCATAATAGAGAACCCCAGCTGCAGGTTTTGGGACTTAGTAATATGGAGTCCCTTCACAGCAGGATAAGAAAGCAGGCATTTTCAGAGCATTCCCAGTCTAATGTAGACATCTGCCTGAGATTGCATGAATAGTTCCCTGGAAGTGCCACTGCTTCTCTTTCAACTGTGAACAACTTTAGGCTTGACAAGATACTTAGCTTACAGAGGGCTAGAGCTGAGTTAGATTAACCCCTGCTGAGCAGTCAATACCTGACTTCTCCACAAATAGCCCTAGCGAAGTGAATGTGACTGAGGCTGTAAAATTCAGAACTTAGGTTTGCTCACTGGGGACTGAGTAGATGCTCACAAGTTTACCATGTTCGGTGGCTTTGCACTCTGGTGGCAGCAATCATAGATGACTCTTGTGTACATGTCTTTGTTGGTTTTCTTGGGTTTTGGTGCTTCTCCACTGAGTATATGTCATGTACATGTCATTTTTGGTACATAAGAAATGGAGGTTTGCTGTCTTTTATTCAATGTCTATAATATACGTGCTCTGTGGAGCTGGGTTTGTTGATCTCCCATGGTAGCAAGTTAGTCAAGGTGGTCAATAGCAGGCAGAATTCACATGCTTAAACACAAGTACCTCATGCTGAGTGAGATGCCCTGAGCTATCTAGGTACCTGCAAGGAGCTAACAACATGATGAGGGCCTTACAGAAGTTCTTCAGCCTTTTGAATGCTCCAGAGGACTCCAAAATGGCATTAGGTTCATTTATGTCTGTATTGAATGAGGGATCTAGGAGCTACTAGTAAGGTCCTAAATAAGACAGAAATGAGGCAGCTGTCTACCTGAATAACTCCCTACATTCCAGTGA